GATGATTTGGTCGATATAAGTCAATGGAAATGAATTCTTGGGGCAATCCTTGTTCAGGTCAGTGAAATATATGCATATCCGCCATTTGTCGTTCTTCTTTTTCACCATGATCATGTTGGTGACCCATTGGGAGTACTTCGACTTTTTGACGGAGCTATTTTCCAACTAGTTTTCCACTTCTTCGCGTACTGCATCATTAATTGCGGAGTTGAACTTACGCCTAACTTGCCTCACCGGGGGTTGGAATGGATCGACGTTCAATTTTTGCGTGACGATCTCCTTTAGGATACCTAGCATATCTGCATGGCTAAAAGCAAACAAGTCCGCATTAGCAGTTAAAAATTCACGAAACTTACCCGGTTCTTGAAGTTTACAGCCGATGTAAGATTTCTTGCTGTGGTCGTTGCTGTCTACCTAAACGGGGTAGAGCTTCTCTATGGTTTATCCTTCGGCCTCAACCATATCAGGGTCTCTGATGACGTCCTCGCTGTCATCGCACATCGACCTCGACCCTGTTGATTGCTATGCCTTTTTTTCTTTATCCTTGGTATGTTGGGTGGCCGTACAGTCTAAGGCGATGCGGTAGCATTCCTGGGACGTGCGTTGTTCCCCTTGTATACTAAATATTCCCCATGGAGTTGGGAATTTGATGACTTGGTACAAGCTGGAGGGGATGGCTCTCATGGTGTGTATCCATAGCCCTATTATGGCGTTGTATTCTGTGTCCTGGTCCATGATATGGAATATGGTTTCCAGAGTGACGCCACCTTCTAGGACGGGGAGTGTGATCTCGCCGGATGTTTGCTCAACTGTATTGTTAAAGCCTGTTAGTGTGATGCAGTGCGGCACTATCTTATCCTCGAGTTTCATTTGTGCAAGCACTCGAGGGTGGATAATGCATGTGCCGCTCCCATCGTCTACCATAATGCGCATCACATCGGTATCTAAAATTCGTAAAATGATAACAAGAACATCATAGTGAGGGAGAACCAAACCGTTGGTATCTGACTTATCGAAGATGATACTTTCTTCGAGTTCGTCATACCATTCGTAGGTGATCGACCGTTTGAGCTTGTGGGTTGTGGTGAACTTCACGTTGTTGATAGAAGCGTTGTCCCCTCCACCGATGATCATGTGGATGGTGTGGGCCGGCGAGGGTTGTTTCAGCGGCCCTTGATGTTTTCACGTCCTCTGGCAAAGTTGGTCCTTCCCCGATCGCTCATTGATTCTTTGTAGTGTCCATGTCGTAGCATGTTTACGACCTCCTGTCTTAGGGCGATGTAATCTTAGGTTTTGTGTCCTCGCTCTTGATGGAAATTGCAGAGGGCGTCTGATTTTCTGGTCTGACCTCATCTTTTGCGGCCACTTCACCTTCGGTCCGAGCTTCTCCAAGGCGTAGACTATTTCTGTAGGTGACACACAAAAATTGTGAGCGGATAGAAAATGGGGCATACCTCTCTCGTTTCGATGAATCCTTATTCTTGATTGGGGTGGGCCCTCTTCAAGGCGGGAAAAGGATGCAACAGTGCTTTCTTCGATCTTTCCTGGATTTTGCCTGCACTGAGTTAGTTGATGGGTCGGCCCATTGAGGTCGTCCTCGTCTGCTCGGACTTCGACGCAATATGCGTTATGTATTTCGTCCTAAGTCGTTTGGGGGGGGAGGGTACCTCATAAGCCGACTTAATAACTTTCTCGTTGCCCTTGAACCATTTCTACTCAGCCTGTTCTGGAAAGATGTGATAACCATCCCTTTCGATACATTCGGTAAGGTCATTCTTACTCGGTTGAATCGGGCGAGGAAGTCCCTTAATCCCTCTCCCGGTGACTGTTTGATAGCGAATATGTCGTTTACTCTCGCCTTGCCTTTTTGTCCCCAGCATGGACAGTTACGAACTTGTCGGCCATTTCTTCGAATGTTTCAATGGAACGCGCGGGCAGCTGTGAATACCATGTTAATGCTCCTCCAATGAGGGTCTCGCCAAATTTTTTCAACAAAATGGAGGATACTTGTTCCTTGGTGAGGTCACTGCCTTTCACGGCGGTGACGTAGTAGGTCACATGGTCTTCAGGGTCGGTCGTGCCATCATATATTTTCAGATAAGGCGGCATCTTAAAGGTCTTTGGTATGGCATGTGGGGCGGCATCATCACTGTACGGCTGCTCGACGAACCGTCTGCCATCTCTCTTAGGAAAGAGCTTAGGGGCACCCGGTATCTTATCGACCCTCTATTTGTGTTCTTTCATTTGATCTCGAAGCATTTTGTTCTCATTTTTCATTTCTTCCATTTTTTTCAAAATGGTTGTGAGAGTGTCGCCACTTGTATTATTAACGACATTGTGAGTAATACATGTTGTTGGAGGATGAGGAGGAGGAAGTTGATCATGTTGCTCGTTTGTTGGTGGTATAACGCAAGTCTAGGGGTGACCCGCCTCGCCTGGGGGAGGCATTAGGCGTTGCGTCCCCGTCCACTGCTTCAGAACTCTCATTGATGATGCTCGTGAGGTTGGTTGGGAGGTCGCTCATTATTTTCATTCTTTCTTCTCGGTTACCTGCCATATTAGATCTGTGTATATAAAGAAAAAAGGGGATCTTGTTCTTGGTCCTTCCTTTTTTTTTTTTACGTTAGCAATCCGTGTTAGTTGTAGATCTTAGAGGAAACTAAAAATTTAACTAGGAAATCCCCACAGACGGCGTCAAATCGTTTGACTAAAAAGTATAACTTTCGGTTAAACCTTTATATTTATGTAATGATGGATTAAACCTAGTTAATAATAATATTCCTAAACGTGGATCTTAAAAATACGGATAATATGGGGCTGATCCAGTGGGGGATTAATGATATCATGCATTAAATATTCTAAAAGTATGAGCAATAATGGAGAAGTAACTAGCAATAAATAATAATAAATGGCATTTAAGTAAATAGAAGGAATGATTTATCCAATAATGAATGAGTTAGATGATTGTTCCTCCTGACAATGATGTGTGAAAGATAAATCCTAGAATGTTCGAACTATTCTCGGATCTGATGAAAAAGTATCAAATAACATGAACAAGAATGTTGATAAAAAGGTAATGTTTGTATCTTTGCTAGAGAGAGAATCTTCTTCTAAAAAGTGTTCTTATCAAGTGAATATTACATGCCTTTCTTCCTTATCTTTTTTCTTTATTTATTAGAGACATATCTCTAACAAACCTTAATAGTACAACTGCAGAAAATATTCAATAGAATATTCTGTTTAATATCCTATTTTTAAAACTAGATGTTACTGTTCTGTCAACGGTGCTCGACCTCGGTCATTGTTGATATCTCGACTACGAATCTCGCTACTCCATGTCCGGCCTCGACTGACTCTTTCCTTATTGACATATTACCCTAAATATTCTAGGGCAGATTTTGACCAATACACTTCTGTCCACTAGCTTTGCAGATTTTGACCAATACACTTGCTGCATATTTTTTCAATTCATTAATTAGTTGCAAATGGAGAGGTTGAATTTCGCTTCTTACGTATTGTGGTGAACCTACTAGTCCTAGGAGTACTTGCCTATCTTAGGTATTGACTGTGTGGTGCAATTGGAAAACTTCATAGAATTATCCTTGTTTACTTTGATGGTTGCAATAGCTTTGTCCAATATAGTTATATTGTATAAATATGATAAGAATAAATTTTGTATACATATATTTAAAATTTTGAATTCCCTTAGCATAAGAGAAATACAGTTCGAAATCCACGTGTAACATTTTTGAATTCCCTTATTAGAATCCTAGCTTTGTCGGTGCTTGAAATGGACTCAACAGTACCACGTATTTCGGAAATATGCTTCTTCATGAGTATTAAATTGTATATATTAAACATAAATTGACTTAATGTTTTCGTGCAGTAGGATTAATTAGACTGATTTGACATGCTAAGTGCTAAAGTTCCTGTAAATAATTAAGTGCATACATACTGTTCTTTCAATATCATTTTTGTGGTGAGGCGACGTGCAATTTTATTGGTAGAAGTTGAGAATTGAACCCCATCTAATGATAGGTTCTATGACTATTGAACCCCATCTAGTATTTGATTTGGTTCGATTTTGATTTGGTTCCTAACCAATAGATATCAATTTCTGAACTGGAAACATTAAACTTTTGGCCAAATCTTAAACCAACGTACGGAATTTAGACTATTTTAGGCATGCAGAATGGACCCAAATATAGATATTGATTAATGCGTTGCATTTGGTACCCAAAAAAATTGTTGCAAACAACAAATGAATTTCCTTTAGTGTAGGGTCACCAACTTATCTGGAATTGTATCAGTAGTTTAATTAGTCGTGCTCGTGCCCCGTATCGGAAAGAAAGAAAAAACTTATTTGAAATTTTAATAATATTTCAATTAGTACGGTTAAAGTACCTAATAAAACTTATTCGAAACCTTACTATTGTTTTACATACGTGATTTCTCAGCCCGTCTCTTTAATTGAGTAATTGTGACTTAGATTTATTCATCTATCATTCTGGAAGTGACACACAACGTATTTGAGTTATTATTATATATTGTTGAGTAGATACTTATTTGTGCATGTTAATTGTGGGGCTCGTAATGCTTTATGCATTAAGTTAGAAATCAATTCTTTTCTTAATGCTGTAAATCATAAATGTGTAGGCACTGCTTTTATTTTTATTCACTGAAAAACTTCCATTTAACTTCCATCTCCGGACCAACTTTGTTCATCTTTTTATAGAATTATGAAAGTTTTATTGTCAAATAATATGGATCACAAAAAAGGCGATAAAATCAATTAAAGTAGACCGGGGAGTATCTGTAAAAAAAAAAAAAAAAAAAAAAAAAAAAAAAAATTATCACTTCACTATTTGGCATGCAATGGACTAGAGTTTCGCATCAAACTCCCTATTCTATGATCTTCAATAAAATAAACTGGCGCGCCTAAAAAGTTCAGTCGAGTAATTGTAATCCTAAATAATGACATTTTAATATAAAATCCATCATTTCATAATGATAGATTAGAGATTAACAAAAACACCTTTTCCATTAGAAGGTACATATGAGAACCCACAAAAAGTGAAGGGAGGGAGGACAAAATAGACTCCTTCAACTCTTGAGTATGTATATAGCAACAACTATGGGGTTGTGAAATAACACTCTATGTATATAACTTAACAAAAGCTCAAACAATTGAATAAACAAAAGAAATAAATTATCTAGGGAATTTACCCTTCATCACCTTTATTCTCTTGTTCAGCATCTGCAGTTTTCATGAATCCATTATCAGGATGGTTTCCTTCACTCTCACCGGCAGCTCGTGAGAGCAAAGAGTCTCCCAAGCTCTCGAGCCCGTTCTGTGTTAGATACTCCAGTGGAAGGTCGGTAGCATTAACAAGGGACGTCATGGTCATTCCAGCAGTGGCCTCTACTAGCATGTCATCGTCGCGATTAGGATGGGAGTTCAGGTCCAACTGTCCCTTCCCGGCTCCAAACTCCTCCGTCTGATCCCCGTTTGTATCCCTTTCGTTCTCGGAAAGATTCATGTGTTCGTTCTCGGATTGATTGATGTGAAGCAACTGATCAGTTCCACTGGCCCCATCTGTTTCTGATCCATCTTTAGGAGGAACCTGATCCTTTGCCTGTGCAAGCTCCGCTTCTCGTTCTGATTGTTTCTTCTTCTTACGTAGCATGAGTGTCTTAAACCGACGTTTCACAGTCAAGCAGACATTGCACTTACATGTGGGCTGGTGCTTGCCCTTTCCACTTGGAGGCTGAATGCAAACAATGCAAGTGCAACCAGGGCGATGTCGAGGATGTTTAGTAGTGGCTCCAACTGAAGGCTCTCCTAAATCCCCAATATTATCTCCTAATACAGCAAGTGTTGCCAAGGCATCGAGACCAGAAGGCTCACAATCTTCATTGTTTTCTACAAGTTTTCGCCTCTTAAGATCTGAAATGAGGAGACAATAATAGTGAGTGACCAAATTATATAAACAAAGGTGATAACCAAGACAAACCAATCCAGAAAACATATAGGCATTTCATTTATTTGATAGTTAAGCATAAAAAAGAGACATCGTAATAAATTTTATAGGATCCAAAAAGGCACCCGGCCCAGTAGTCAACGTATAAAATTTAACCTTGATCTTGTTTCACAATTCATGTCTTTCAATTGTATAGGGTTACATACAGGAAACATAATGCATCTACTATTTTTGAGATATTTACAGACACGTTCAACATACAGCCCTTCATACCCCCCCCCCCGGTGTGGGGGAGGGTGTTTGCTGATTAATATATCACAGAAAAGGTCAAAAAATAAAATGAAGCCTCTCTCTCCCTCCTACCCTAGTTAAGTGGATCTTTTCTAAATTCTAATGCTTTGAGCCAATAAAGAACATCAAGATATAAATGAGAAGTAGAATTCCCAGCATCAGGAGAAAAGCCTGTTTAACAGAAAATTCCCTAAACTTTCTTTCCATCACTTGCATTTGCAAAATACGACTATCCGTTAGGAATTGATGGTTCATGTTGAAGCTTGCACATAGAAAAACTTTTCCTTGTGAGAACCGACTTTTTAGCAACTGTGACCTCTAAGAAACTGTTACTAACAACAACAACAATCCAGTATAATCTCACTAGTGGGGTCTGGGGAGGGTAGTATGTACACAGACCTTACCCCTACCCTGGGGTAGAGAGATTGTTTCCGATAGACCCTCAGCTCCCTCCCTCCAAGAACTCCCCACCTTGCTCTTGGGGTGACTCGAACTCACAACCTCTTGGTTGGAAATGGAGGGTGCTCACCACTAGAGCAACCCACTCTTGTCAAAATTGTTACTAACAGAACAACCAAATCTTAATTCTACAAGAAATTAAACCCACTCAAATCACCCATCGTCATTCTTGTCCATGTATATAAATTTCCTTACTACTTCATGATCATATGCTTGTGAACATTCCATGTCATTAACAAAGAATCAAAATGAAAAACAAATATAGGAATTGAAGATTTCTGCTAAACAATGAGGAAAAATATTCAATACCCTTGCCAACTCTAAAGAGAGCTTCCAGTTCCCTCGGATTAATCTCATCAGGAGCAGCACAAGAGCATCTGCGAAAATGTAGTTGGCAGTAAAGGGTTAGAAAATGTCATTCTTCAGAGTATCCATCTAATCCCTGGACAAAGGTATACCAGAACTAGCTCACCTATCAAACATTGGCCGAGTATATACAACTAAAAGTTATTAAATGAAATAACAAAATTTGCTTAGGCTAACACCCCCACCCCCANTCTTCTCATCATGAGAATGCACGAGACTTTGGACTCTATGTACGTAATGATAATTTTCCCCAAAAAAAAAAAAAAAAAAAAAAAGAGGAAAAAATTTATCAAGTGGGAATTGATCCGTCTTCTTCTTGGTAAATAATTCAACCTTCAACCAAGTGCACCATTCAACCTTTTGGAGCATGGGTGCCAAGAGTTAATATTATACCACTTTTAGAAAATGTGTACATAAAATATTTAATTTTGCGGAGAGACCATGGGTTATGTGCCCCATATTTTCCCGTATAAATCCGCCCTTGCCCGCCCCCAAAAAAGGCAAATGCATCTGAAAAACATGACACATTCATCTAACACCAACATCTCAGTTTGCACCGACTACCAATATCATAGTAAGAAGTCACTAAATTGGTTGAACGGAATTACCCCCTGGTTTATGGTTTACCTACCGAGGAACCACCATATGGGCAAAGATCAATTTTTCTTTTTCTTTTAGAAATGTGATATCTTGGGAAATTGAAATGATATAATAACCTAGTCTCAAATATAAAGCCAAAATGGGAGATGGATGGAGCCAGATACAGACCTTCTTGAGTCCCAAATATTGTCCGAACAAGTCCACTTTGCAGGAAGGAGAACATGCACCGGCAATCTACGCCATTTAGAGCAGCTGTCACATTGAGCCCATTGCTCCTGATGCCTGCACAACGGTACAACACAAATTAGCAATCAGCTTAGCTCATTAGAAAAACAAAAATATCTAGCACATAACCAAATAGTGAAATGGCATAAGTAGTTCAAAGGTATCATGTGACAGTTTGAACATTGAACGAAGTTCTCTGAATACGCTGAGCTACAAAATATCAAATTTCTCAAGTCTGCACAAGTTGATCCATTTATCATAATAGAGAACTACAGATAAATTTCACTCAGTGTAGTCAATTTTTCCCTTACCCAGAAGATCGGGCAGTAAATATTGTCCTCTTTCCAAAGACTGGTGGTTCCTGTAGGAAAAAAAAGAGCATTAGACATTCCGCTTACTACTGTCTATCATTGACTATGAAAAGGGAAGGACAATGACATACAATTAAAAGAAAGGGAAAAAATTTTAGTAACACTTTCTACATTTGGGTTGCACGTACTTCATATTCCTCAAATTCATAGTCCTCAATCACAACAACGGTAGGCTTGGAAGTCGGAGGTGGCCGTAGCAATTCTTGTGCTTCTTCCCAAGTGATTCTAAGTTCCATAACATCATCAGCATGCATAAGAAGCCTCTTATTTTTGGACCCTATGTTTCTTGCCTTTTTCTTCTCTGAAATCGGCACTTGCCGATTCACAGAATCATCACTTGCCCTGCCTCCATTCTTTTCATGCTTCGATGAGAAAAAGAATTTGTATTAAGGGAAAGAGCAAATTCAAATGCTTGCTTAGCAAAAAGACCTAACAGGCTAGGAGCAACACTCACCTGAAGATTTTCAGTCATGCCAGTGAATGAAGTTTCTGCAAAGCCACTGGGAAGGATAGACAGTTGAGGATCCTGTTATTTGCATATGAAAAAAAGGAAATAAATCACTATAATAACTTGAAACGAAAGCTGACTATAGCAACC